TGATGTACATACGTACGAAGTTCTACGTTGTTACTGACTGACCGCACTTGGACAACAATGCATCTAACTGATTCTCAAATTGCATTGAAATTCCCTTTCATTTTTTTAAAGACAAAATTTTATCTAGAATGTTAGTTCTTCCAGTGTGTGAATGCATGATTAAGTCAGTGTATTAATATGTACACATTGATGTGTGGGATTGATGGCTATTGAAAAAAATGTGAGGAGTAATTTTGAACGAAAGATAGAGATGTGAATTAAAAACTTCCTACTCATAATCGAATTCAATAAATTCGATAACTTCTTCACATAAGAGAATAAAGTTACCTTATCACAAAACATGATTGACATTGAACCGACTTTGGGCTGTATGTACCCATAATGATAAATTTTGGAAGTATAATCATTAATATCAAAGAAATTGTGAAATATTAAAATAAGTGTTTGGTTTCTTCATGGTCGCTTTCTTCCCACTAAAATAGTTATTTAATTGATTGTAAATCCTCTATTCATGACATCTGATTTGCAGAAATCCGTGTGAAGCATTTAGTTTTGATTGGATGTGGAATTTTCATGATTTGGAAATCATTCCGTCCAAAATTTCCTGGAAATCGTTTCCCTAGTGCTTACTAATTTATTTACTTAGGTCACTTTACATCAATACACAATGAATTAGTCACATCGTCAATTTGATCACTCTATATTAACCAAATATTTTAACCACATTATGTAATATAGGAAAAGTGTAGTAAAAGGTTCGATATCCATCAATATACTAATAGTGTAGAAGTAGAAAATTATGGTTAGTATAAAATGTGAAATGACATAGCAACTTTAAAGGAACCGGTATAATTTGCCGTTAACTGTGTTTCTGTCACAATCACATAATGCGAGCCAATATTCTTTAAATAGGAGAAACCGTTTGAACTGTACTTTCACCTGACTAATTATACTATGTGACAATGAAAAAAACATTGATACATAAGGGCACCAAATACATAGGCGCCACACAATAATAATGAAATTGTGAGGAGATAGAGAATGTAAAGTGCATATGAGAGAACGGAGAAAATAACAGACAGAAATTAGTTTATGAGAGTGAAACAATAATGGGAGAGGCAGTTCAGTTAGCAAAGATACAACGAGAAAGCATTCTTCCAGTTAAAGAAGTTACGTTCATTTTGTATAAAGAAAGTGACAGCAGAATTGCCACTGGCTTCTATTCTGAGCCACATCTGATAACGTTTCTAGCCACTGTGTTGCACCATCTGTAGGATCTTAACCATGGACTCGTGAAGAACCAACAGAAGCCAGTCCTGTACAGCTTTCTTCCATACCGCGATACCATGTCATACACTGATCACCTCTCCGCTTTTTCCAACCAGTCCCAGTGTAGGCAAATAATTCACGACGTGGGATTCCCTGAGACGATATTCGTAGATCATGTGCAAGTCACCGAATTCGATGTTTCAAGATAGTGCCCCTACTTGAATTTTCGTCGCACTGGTGGGGACAGTCAAATGTATTTGAACAGAAAATTACAGAACGTCTTAATAAAATTTGAGAATCATACACTTAATTCTTAATTTGTAAAATGTCAATCGTCTCAAACTTAACTATTACTTTCACAAATATCAGTCAATCGTCTCAGACTTCAATGTTTTTTTGTTTTCACACCAATAATTTTTTGTTTTCGTTCTCTTTTCTTCGATCTTCCTAACGTTCTGCCGCCAGATATTTCACTCTCGACTGATGATACATACTATTTATATCTGTCGACATCAGTAACACACACTACAGCCATACCCGGATACACGATGTCGAATCACTGCATTAATAAAATGGTGTTGATAGTGGATGTCAGAAATCCTTTGAGACAACGATGATCAAACACAGAGAGTCACTTAACATTGTCAAATCAAAGAGAGAAAAACTGCTGTCACAGCCAGGTTGTGAACGCAACATTTAACAGCAAGACTAACATCACGAAGGCTCCAACGTTGTCAACTTGGACCGATGCATATGTGTGCATGGTCCTTTGTTGTAGCTGACTGACTGGTTGACTGCAAAAATAACCTAGATTTACATAAGTCGCTCTGGCTTCCAATATACATGAATTGATCTCATCACTCACGCCAACAACAGCACTCACTGAGCTACCCAAATACACGAACTTCTCGACTACTCATGTTTGCTTACCACCAAGAGTGAGTGCAGGTTTAGGATCTTGAGAGTCTTGTAAAAGTACTTTGCACTGCCAAGGTGCAAAGCAAATGCCATACCCACGGACACTGGTTGCCAGCTGATTAAGTGCAGATTGCATCGCTTAGGTACCATCACACAGTAGGACAATATCATCCGGACACTCAAGGTCGAAGAGTCCTTCTCCAGACAACAGATTGACACCACCATTACCCACATCCATCAAAGTTGATTTTAGACCGTCATTGATGGCAAAGTTGAAAAGGAATGGTTAGATTTGGCAACCCTACCTAGCCCCGCTTCTGGGTTAGAACAATGGAGAGAGGTGATCGTATGCCCCCACTCCGCCAGTGGTGTTTGTATATAGGGCTTTTAAACACACCTTTCTTCAATAGACAATCCCATAGAGCAGTCCTGTCCAATGAATAAAATGCGAGCCTGATGTGGAGAGACACTACGATTGCTGGCTTGTAATAAGTATGAAGGTGTTCTAAGATTTGGGAGAGGGTGAAGATATGACCAATACATCCTCGACCAGGACGAAAACCAGTCTGCTCCTCGCAAGTCAACCTTTCATGGGTTTTGAACAATCTACGAAGTATGACGGAAGTCAATAATTTGGATGCCATCAGAAGTAAACTTATCCTCCTATGGTTGTTAGATAAGTGAAGTGGACTCTTATTAGAGATAGGGATAACTAACGACTCATTCTATGGTGTTAGAACATTCTCTAATTACCAGACATTTGTAGACAATTCTGTCAGTTCTTTAACCAGAGTGTCGCCACCATCCGATCTGTTAGAGCTGACACAACCTCAGCACGTAGTGTACCACCAACAAAACCAGAAAAAAATGCCACAGCGTCCCCGAATAGACACACGTGAAACAAGCTTTTCAAAGCGACAGATGGAGAGCAAATTTGTAGTACTTTACTAGTTTTGAATGCGGGTCTCGGATTGACAACAGACGTCGATATTAAGACTTTCTAAAGACATAACCAACCCTTTCTGTTGTCTGACATTGATTATTGTGCGAACGTTGAAGGAGGCCAGTTTGAAACGCACACGTGGTTTTAGAAAGAATTATTCATAATTCGTATTTGGTGGTAGTATTCAACTTTCGAGCAGTCGGTGACTCGAGATCGTTTGGATAGATAAACGCCAATAAACACTGAAAATCGCTTACAGCAGTGGGCTACATTCCTTTTTGGTTATGATTTTATTATCAAATATACATCAACAACCAGTCTTGAACAGGCTAGTGGATTATCAAGATTAATAAACTGAAACCGAACAATCGATGAGGGTTGCGTTGTTAAGGCAGTATCAATTGAAGCAAAAGTAAACCGAGTTATGTCGGATGTGATCGACACCTTTCCAACAACGGCGAATATGGTCTAGGATGCTACGATGTCCAATATGAACTTCAGCAAGTCGCGAAGCATGCGTATGACGGTTGGCTAAACAAATTCGATAATACTTTAATAGAATATTTTCGACGACCCGGAGCTTTGTCTACTACCAACTCCTGTGTACTGTTTGAGCAACGCCTGGTTATTCTAGCTACTATCAGATTCCTGGTACTGAAACAATTTCGCTCAGGTCACCCTGGTGTACATCGATCGTATGACGGCACCAGCACGCAGTTATGTATATTGACCACTGACGGATAAGGACATTGAAAGTGTTGCAAACAAATATCCACAGTGTGCATATGCCACAAAGCTGCCATCGAAAACACAGCCGTTCATATGGCTATGTTCAGGAAAGCCATGGCCCCGTGTTCATGCTGATTTTGCTGGGCTAATAAACGATCAACTTTTTTAATCATCATCGACTAATTTGCAAAATGGCCAGATTTATTTAATGCCTCAGACCTCATCGACCTCAAACATGAATGTGCTGAATAGGCTTTTGGGCAGTTTGCTTTTCCGGAAACACTAGTTATAGACAGTGAACCTCAGTTCACGTTGAAAATGTCGAACTTCTGTTTGAAGGACGCAATAACATACCACCCTACCACACCCAGTCAAACGGCCAGAATGAGCGTTTTGGCGAATTTTCATCAAGTCACAAGGGGAGAGCATGACGGAGAAGTTCATCTAGAATAACCTGAAATCTAGCCTCAACCAATGTTACCTCCCCTGCTAGGTCAGTGTCCGGAAGGAAGATTCGGACGTCATTTAATGATATGTATCCACAAGGAAGAAGACGAGATTATAAACCCAAGGTGAAGAAAACTGATCGTCAGTTTCCTAGTGGGTTACCAGTGTATGTAAAAAACCTTCAACAGTGTGGACTTATATGGGTAGCGAGTGTCATCGTAAGAACAGTCGGTGACGTGATGTACAAAGGTGATGCTCGAGGAAATCGTTGAGGTGTCGTCCCACAATAATGTTGACATTTAACGATTGCGATAATACATTCTTAGCCAGTTTTCTAGATTCAAATATCAGGATAAAATATCAAGATTTTGAAACATAAGATTTCGATAATACGGCAGATTTTCTAGTTACAGAAATCGAAAGGCGTTTATATGGTACCCATTGTGCTTGGATTCTTGAACACTTTAACAGATACTCAAGTGAGTAGTAGTCCAGATACTTCGTTATGGCTATTGATTTTCTCAGCAGACCTTCTAAAGGTGTTGACTGGCTAAAAGTTATTTTGGTACTATGGAGTTTTCTGAGACTGATCTTCATCCCATTAAATTATAGACTAACAAAAAACAATTTGAAACTAATCATCTTATGTAAAAAAAATTTATTTTGACTCTTCTCTACCTCACTTTATTATCAGGACCATATGATTAATTCAGGTCGACAACAGGATAATCAGAAAATCTAAGAAGCGTAAGAGGAAAGCAGAATGAATAGGCAAAGAGTTAAACTGATTACAGATAGTTGTTTACGATTACATTCCAATCAGAAAAGAATTAATCAAATGAACTGAGATAAAAAGCGTCAAAACAATGGTAAGTTTTTATTATTTGGTTTTAATTCAACACTGTTGAATCAAATATCGATAATTACAGAATTTTCAAATCTAGATTTTCTGCTATATGACCTTTTTCAGTAAGATGTACTAAAGATTGTAATGATACTTATGGCGTACATAGGAACTAAAAACTTATCAACCGTTGCAGTTCAACCTCTTCTTACAGCCTAACATCAGAACATCTTATTTTGTAATATCACATTTGTTGTACTATTCTCTATTTTGTTACGTGATCTACAGATCATAGATAGAGTACCACTGTTTACGTATTCAGTAATCAGTTAGGGTGAATATGTTGGTCCTAAAATAATTATTTGGAGACCGAACAACTCGATGGTAATATGCCTGAATGTGACATTATATGATACCTGTCAGAGTACAAAGGGTAGTATCAATTACATTGAGATTATAGGATTGTTATTTTAATAGATGGTTTACACACGGAACTAAGTCTTTATGTCATGATGTTGAGTTTCTTAGACTGATGACCGCACTATACCTTGATCTTTAGAATTCGGTTAATCCTAAAGGGTAGATAGCAAATCACTGGTTATTAAAATACAACTGTTCAGATACTATTTTTACTAGGAGAATTAAGATGTCCTGAACACGGAAAATCTATTCTCCCGCCTGAGTTTAAACAAACAGTATAACATCTGTCGTGATTTAATAACTGTCTTGAACGCTGCTGATTTAGACGGATGTTAAATTAAAACCTAATAACCAGTAATATGTGAATTATTTTCAAAAGATTTCCAAATTAACTTTCAGTGATGAATGGTGAGTTATTAAGGATAGTTCACATCACACCCCAACAGTTATCGAAAATAAAGTTAGAGATCGAGACCAGGAGCCTCAATCCTCATAAAGAGTATGATACTATTGGAAAACTGACTTTTCAAAATCTAATCTACATTTTCAATCACAGTCAACTCGCAATACAGTAAAATTATTGTACGATATCATTGATGATATCTGTCTTACTCCTAAAATGTCGAAATTCCACTAGTTACGGCTTCTCACCCGAACTTCTAAAATTCGTCTAAAAGTTAGTCAGTAATGAGTACAACTTTGAAAGTTAACGAATCGATATCTCGTTTGTAGACGTTTGTTTTGTTCCATTTACTCAACTATTCTGACATTAACTATAGCTCTATTCTGAATAATAAAAATTAGCCTCATAGCTTTCTAATCGTGAAAAATTAGTTTTTCTATCTAAGCAAACTGTCATCTTACTCATGTTTTGAATCAGTATATTAATTCACATTTTACAAATATTTTTATTGTAGCTAAATACAGATTGGACAGAGATAGAAGTAATCGAATTGATAGTTGATAATGCAACACATCTTGGATTTGGTATGTGTGGAAGTAAGAGCACCGGTGTAATCGTTAGATGCATTACACCTGGTGGAGCAGCTGAACTGGTAAGACAATATTAAAGACAAAAACTCTACTTGGACTATTATGTATTGTTAAAAGTTTATTAACATTTAATTTGAAGGTGTTTTGGGACGCACGTCATTTATATGAAACAGTTATCATTCTCTGGTTTACGACAAGACTTCAGTTGATATCACTCTATATTTTGTTCAGTAATGATAACAATCACTCGGAATTCTTTCTTATCACCATTGATTAAGAAGTATATTGATCCATAAAAACGAATTGACTGATAGAGAAATATGGATACAGTTATCAGTGGCTAGTTATCACTTGTCTTTATGTCATTGAAAAACCCCACTTGTGTAACTTTGGAATTCCAAATTCCAGTGAGTTATTTGTGTAGCGGCAAACTATAATTATGGTTTTCTCTCTTCGATTCTATTTCCCTTGCATTGACATGTCTGAGTGGATGTCATTTTTACATTAAGATGTAACGTGTTGATTATTGCTCATTTTCTACTACATTATCAAAAAGTTAATGTATGATCCTGTTCACGACTTGGTTATCATGCTTTATCTCTGAAGTAAGAGGTAACATAAATTTTTCTTAGTGTTTAATTTTAATAATTCATATGATGTTAAGTGTAGTACATGATAGTTTTACCTCATCTGTTTCTTGTCGTTTATACTGATTCTTTCTAAGGACGGTCGTCTTCGACTTGGTGACCATATTGTCTGCATTCATGATCATAATGTTCGAAGTTATGGACCAGATCAAGTGGCTACAGTTCTACGCCAAACTATATCAAATTGTCTATCTGAAGTTGTATTAAAACAAGATTCTTTGCAGACGGATGAAACATCCACAACAACTATGAATAAAAAATCTTCACTTATCAGAACGCAGACATTAACAAACAGAACTTCATCAACTTTTACTAATACTATTAATATACGATCGGAAAAATATACTTTATCCCCAAGCCAAATAGATTCAAATCAAATTGAGTCTAATGAAATTCACGAGATCAATCAAAAATTAATGAGCGACCCAATAGTTTTAATTCGAATGATTGTAGCTCGTCCAGCTAATGGTAATCCTGTTGATTTGAATGATATCAGTTTAAAACAGCAAGCTGTTTGTCATCAACATGGTGTTCTTGGAATGCTGACGTAAGACAAAAATGGTCAATTCTATTAATGTATAATGTTTTGTGTAAATTTTAAAGTAACGAAAATAAACATGGTTCTTTATATGACATGAATTCCGTTCGCTGTTAAAATTAAAGTAACATAGTAACTATTTAAATTAAAATTAAAACAGTATATTGTAGATAGTTGATCATAGTGGGATTCGGAATGGGTATTATATACTATTTTGTATCCATCATTGTTGATGTCCGCGTTAAGAATCAAACACAGCATACATTACTTATTGAACTACATTTCTAGTCATTGTCCAAAATATAATCAAGTTGTAGAGATAGGCGATGTTGAGATATCCACCTAAGGAGCCTATATGGTAGGAGAGACGTATTAAGACTCCCGTACGGTGGTGAAAATTTTTTCAGGTACACCGTAGTGTCGAAGAAGCTTTCACAAGATTCTCCTATCCACACTATCAAACGCTTTATCATAGTTAAGAGGATTGATGTATGGCGACCAGTTACATTCACTTGATCGTTCAACAATGATCAATAGTGTCGCGATGTGGTCTGTAAACTATCGATCCTTACGGAATCCGGCCTGTTGTTCTCGAAGTTGAGCGTCCACTGAATCTTTCGTCTGGTTCAACAACACTGTTGAAAACTTTTCCTGATACTGATAGTAGTGTGGTACCTCTGTAGTTCTCACACTTACTGAGTCACCTTTCTTTGTTACTTTGATGAGGTATCCCACTTTCCAGTCTATCGGCACTTGTTCATCCTCCTAAATCCTCTTGAATAGGATGTGTAACAGGTTTGCAGTTACTTCTATGTTTGACGTCAGTGCTTCAGCTTGTATGTTGTCTGATGCTGCTGGTTCTCCACTGTTGATTTGTCTGGTGGCTATGCTGATTTTTCCTATTGTTTGTGGGTTGACATCTATAGAGAGGTTTGTATTTGCTACTTAGATGTCTTGTGAGTTCTGTGGGCCGTATAAGTGCTTTTCATGCTTCCCTGAAGTTAGTCTGTTTTGTCTACATAATGTTGTGACTGAGTTACTCAGAATTTGGCTGAAATACTTTGAATATTCTCGATTTTGTTCGATTTAAAGCGAGTTCAATGTGCTACGTGTAAGTTATTGAAGGAAAATTACTTTTGAACTGTTTCAACATTTACACAAAACTAACTAAGTGTTTATTATCAACTTACTGATAAGTAATTTTGAGATCTATTTTCTATTCAGAAAACATTGCCAAGTAAAGAATAATGTGACTGGTTTCGAATCATGCAATAGAATAAGTCGATTACATTTTAAAATACAAATAACTGAATATTGATTCGTTGGCCTAACTGCACCAGGCTTGCTATGAACTCAATTGCCTTCTATGTCTGTTCTTAGTATTACTATAAAGAAACCTCATGCTAGAACGAAGCGTTTATCCAGTGTTGCTTAATTTTTTGTTGGTTCCCATACTTGATGTTGATCCATGATAAAAATTAGCTCTAAATTTAGGAAGTACATTCTTTTATTATCGGGATCACTAGATACCTGTTTCTCTTAAGATGAGTCCTTATTACGTATTTAACGTTCTATGTGATACTATTACTTTGTAGGATTATACCAACACATCAAATAGATCAATATATAGATGTATTACTACACAAGAAACTTCCACTTGTTGATTTGTACAGTCTATACAAAACAGATCTATTGAACATCGAAAACAATACTAATATTTATAAAAAAATAAATTCAAATGAGGTTGACTGTTCTGAATCATCAAAGCCAATCGACTATAATAGAAGTGAGCTGATAGAAATGAATAAAATGATTGAATCTTCTCCAACTTCATCGAAACAACAAGAACAATATGATTTTGATGTAAGTTATTATTGTGATAATAATAATAATATTGTCTTTTCGCCTTTCTATTTTAAAGCTTCTAGTGAAAACTTTTCACTAATAGTCAATACATCTGATTTACTGTTCGTTTAATTCATATGATTCATTAAAAGACTTCCAAGATAACTGGTTCCAGTGAATATTTCGTGCGTGATCTCTAATTTCTTTATACAATATTGTCCAAACAGTTCTTCCTAGCTCTGTTCATAAGACATCTCATTAAGTTTAATAATATATGGAATAAATATGAAGCTAAAGAAACAAGTGTATTGACAAGTAGATATATTATTTCCATACAAACTTTGAGAAATCAATCTATCTACTCGTTTGTATACTAAGATGCCAAAAAATATAATTTATCATCATATTTATTTTTCTCTGTGACTGGGGAGTGTATACTTTAACATTGTCTAAAACACTCGTTTTTATGAATGTTTTAATTGACAATGTCGAATGCATTGTTGGTATAACAGCAGAGTATATCCAGTTTCTCAAAAGTCTCTTTGACAGACTTACTTATTTTATAACCTCGGGAAAAAATTATTAGTTAAAATAATCATTACAGATAAGTTCTCCATTATGCAATCAGTTTGTCTATAAATTTCATTACTGCAAAAAAAGCGAACGTGTATTCCACATACTGCAAAATCAGAACCGTCTTTTACACCCTTCTCTGAAACTCTATTGTATAAATATTCCAAGGTTTGAACTAAGCATTTTGTATTGATCTGACCATCAGAGATTTGGGAAAAACATTTTGTATTAAATATCGTAGATTAAAAATTCTGTGATTGTACCAGTTATGTATTTTTTTCTCTGATAATTTAATTCGATTGGAAAATAATTTATACGAATATTCGTCAATATTAGGATGAATAGATTGACAAAAGTTGGGCGCCGAGTATAGAGAAGTCATTATATGTGAAAGTTATAACCAGTTTTGTTACTTTAGTTTCAGCAGTTTCGAGAGATGAAACCGTGCTCGACACTTCAGGTTATAACAAGTCCTCGAAATTGCTCAGAATCAGATAGTGAAGAGGTTCACAATAATCTACCAAGTCGAGTTATTGAAAATGATCGCTTAGATAGTAAGTTTAAACATTTTTAAAGAAATATACTTATCATGTATTATTTACGAAGTGTGGCTTAATTGTATTTAATTACTACATTCTCTGAGTAGCGTTTGATATGGTGGTTAAAGTCTTATGTGGTGTGCGTACGAGTGATGCTCAAAATTGATTTCTTATTACTCACGTGTTGGTTATCGTGAAATTTTGAATTGTGTTAATTTATCCTGTTATTGTCAGTAAGGATTTGTGGAGGTTGTTGAATCTCATTGAAATCTTGAAGGGACCCAAGTTAGATCAGCATTAAAAACCCAGGAGCACTGGAAGGCCGTTTCATTCTGGTGTTAAACACGACAATAGGCAGATGGGAAAGAGTAGTTACAAAGTATTTACACAATACATATACATAGCCTTCAACTGTGTACTTGCGTCTTCCGGTGTGTTCCGAAAACTGGACTGTCTTCTAGACAGACCTCCAAGTGCACTGCCAATGCTGTGCTTTCAAAGCACTGAAAGTCGTCACTTTGTCCGACAATTGTTGCAACTTCTACACCACATTTCGCCATACAGTATTTACAAAAATCTTTGTGATTAGCATTCCCTACATTAGTATGCCAGGTTAAGTGTTCTCAAGCGAGACAGAAGGCCCTGAGCTTGATTTTCACTTTCGGTGTTGTGGATGTTCACTGCTGAAGAGTTTTTCAATATTAGTTCAACTCAGATCGATTCAATATTAGAAGGAATACCAGATTATTGACTAACTGTTGTCAAGATCTACTAAGTTTAATCAATTCAAATATGAATATTACTAGGTGTGAATAAAAGACAAAAAATCACTGTATCCGGATAGAGTTCTGATTTATTTTTGGTGTGTAATATTTATTTATCTATCTAACTAACTAATTGATTAACTAACTAACCACCTGTCTATCTAACTATCTATCTGTCTTCTTTGCTTTCGTTTTGCGTGATGAGTAGTATTTCGTCGCTTGTAGTAATTTTCAAAAAGTTATATCTCTGTGTAATTCCAGAGTATTCAGTTTTGCTCTTTAGATAAACACGGACACCAGGTCTACATAGGAATGAGCATATTGGAACTATTCGACAATCAAAAAGCTGGTTTCTTCTATTGGTCTTGTCTGTGACTTATTGTGCCACGTAGTTCTAATATCTTTATTTGTAATTATATTCCTATACTAATGGGCTAAGTACATTGTCTGTTAAAGCAAATGGTTAATACAAAGAGTAAAGCTTATCTTCTCACTCATCTACACGGAAATTTCTTCAGTCACTTGTATTACTCTGTGGATGAAATATTTGTTACATTTTTGATGCTTAATGTTCTGTTCATAAAGCTAGTTTTCATTACTGAACTGTTTAGTCTCTTGAATAATTTAAGTTCAGTGTTAGCTGTATTAATATTCCTGGTCATAACACTGAATGACAAAAGTTGAGACCACATCAAAAAATAAGTCTCTTAATATTAAGTATACCACTTTTCGACCAGTTTCAAATAGTACAAGATCTATGTCAAACAGGACCTACTGTCTCGAATTCTCAACAATCTAATATGATTCGCTGAGTAGATAGTAGTTATTGGAACTCAATATTCCTATGGACGGCTTACTAATATGTGATAAAGTGATGGTATATTCAAGGAAACATGTATCTCAACTTTCTTATGTAAATACTCAATGAAATTAAAAGTCATCCACGAATTTCTTTACTTCTATTTTCATTGCCCGCATACAATAATTATTTTACATACGTATTTTAAAGTAATCAAACCCTTTGATAAGTTTTGATCGAGCAGTAAAAAAATGGAGTTGGTCAGAATTTTTGGGACAGGGAAATATTTTTTGACAGCCACATTTGAGAGGTTGATGTCAGATGGTAACCGTCTTACATTAATGAATTCTACACAAGTTTCTTAGTTAATACGTGCGTAATAGGCCATAAGATACAGGTATGGCAATCCGTTTTCGGGACAGTAGTTGAGATTGCCGGATACTCTGTAAGTGCCTGATACATCAACGACTGTGAACATGTTGAATAATGCAATGACCTCTGTCACCGGTAGGTGTAGGTGATGCTTCAATCATTAACATACAACAACTGTCAGTTTATCTTGAAGGCAATAAATTTGAGGTTGACGTTCGATTATCGTTTTGTTTTTACAATCTGTATATTTTGAGGACGTGCTTTTATTCAAAATTCAGTCCTCAGATGCACAGTAGAAATTGATTTGAGTACGGAAATACTACATGTAGGACTTTAAAGTTCTTTATGTCGTTTCTGTGAAACTGGTATTGTTCTAAAAGTTAGGCAGCCAGTCACACTGCATGAGGTCATCGTGAACTTTCAAAAGAATTCGCATTTAACTAACTCATGTTGTTATCCTATTTACTAAAGTACAACATCCATTATATGATTTGATTAGCACAATATATAGATTTGATTGTTACCATGCTATATCATCATTCTTTGATGATTTTAATTATGATTATTACCCTGAAGAAATCCAAACAAGTTTTTTGGACGAAATGTTGGAATTATTTTTAAATTTCAATCACTGAGATTATTTCAAATATAATTTTCACATATAATTAAAATAACTGGTTTAGATTCATTATTCACATCCGCCCACGCATTATTGGACAATTTTTTACACACCTCTTACCCTTTGTACTCTTTATACCTGTCTTGCACTAGTCATAGTTTTGTAAGTGGTATTATTATTAGTTATTAATGTTGCTTTAAGACGAACATAAAAGCCAATAATTTGTTCAGCGATTGCCCTTTCAGTAACAGTGAGTTCTAGCAACAACACTATCAGTAGTTTAGATTCATGTGTGGACGTATTCCAGCTAGAGATAATTTGTTTCATAGTATTTTATGTCTTCATATATGACAAGGTACAGCTAGACATACTGGGGACGTATTTCGATAATGCTTAAATCAGTCACTACATTTTTTGAAAATATTTATTGTCATACCTTTAAAATTTATCGTTAATGCTAAAGAAAAAAATACTACAATTGCTTTAATGTAAATAAGTAGTGCTAACTTTACATCAACAAAACACGATTCACAGACGCAGAAAAAACCCATATACACCAGGTAAAATAGAAATAAATTATTTCTTCGATGAATAGTGATATACAGAAATCCTAACACAATGAAAGGTAACAAAAAATTTAAATAATTGTGTAAATGACTCTAAACAGGGTTTTTTTCCAGTCAGTCAATCACCATATGACTAATGGTGAATTATTCTTCATATTGTATTGTTCTGGTAATAATTGATCCTTATATGCACAGATAAAACGAGTCATTTAATGCGTCAAGCGTTGATAAGTAATTTTGAAATTATAATATAATATAATAGATTAAAAATTTTTATTTACCTGTCCACGTTCTTTATAAACCTCGAACGGGGAACAAATGAATAATGTTCAATCTCACCCTCTACAATTTTAATTAGAATTGGAGATAATACATTCAACAAAATACCCTTTACGAGATGTTAAGAAACAAATGTAATCAACATAAAAGGTTATGAGATTTCACAAAAACTTTATTTCAACAGCTATTACCGGTTTATATTCCGTAACAGAAATGGAGACCGTAGGGCAGAAGTTTTATGATGGGTGAAGGTAATGGATAACTCCATTAGATTTATATCCAGAGCCGGAATTTAATAGAGAAGTGAATATTCGTTGTTGGTTCTTCGTGTTTCATCAAAATCAAGTGCATTTAAGCAGCAAGTAGACAAATCAGTTTAATCAGCAATGGCAAATTAAACGTAATACAAATGTAAAACGATTAGTCTCTTTTATAAATTTTGACCGAAAAATGAGAAGGTGGAGTTTATTTGACCAAATTGTTCGAATGAATGAACGCAAATACATCACACTTTTTTGCTCAACCACATGATGCAGATTATTGTCATCGTCCAGCTGAAATTCCTGAAATTGTACCAAGGGGGTGATGTAACTTTAAGGTAAGGCGTAGTTCCCTGAACCTCGTTCATTTCAATACACAAATTGGTTATCCGGAACGCACTTTCTGAGCCCATGATTGTGCTCGAAATCACTATACCAGTGCATGCTAAATTACTCATGCTCATAGTTACTAGAATATGTCAAGCCAAAAGTTATTCTTTGTTTTTATATTCCTCCTAAAAAAATAGTGACCAATGATTCCATTTATAAAACAATTGATCCCACTGCAAAAAAGGGAATGAAAGAAGCTTTAAAATGGGTTGAAAAAACCTGTTATTAGAAAAAACGGGTATGATAATTTCATTCTATATTACATTAATTTTTTCTCTTCCTATGCAATTATCGCTTTATGTTTATTGAATCTTTTATTTAATTGACCTTTATTAGTGCCTCGACATGTATATGTTTGTCCATATTGTTTGAAACGTACAGCGTACATCCATCACATTTTTCAAATCAACTCCGTTTTATTAACTGCTCTATAAAATGAATTTTTTTAAATAAATAGTTTCATGTTAATAACAAATAATTGCTTCTATTATTCTTTTTCATAAAATCTATTCAATCAAGATAAATATAATGAAAATTTAAAAATCGATTGCAACACAATATTGAATTATCAAAACTACTCCACTGATCATCCTATCTCATCTCCTTTCAATGAATATGTTCTTGAAAATATAAGTCAACAAGGCTTATCAATTCATGTTAATAATGAACAAGAAAATGGCGATGAAGAGGCAGAAGAAACTGAAATTCACACTGTACAATTAACAAAATCAAAGGATCAAGGCTTAGGTCTAAGTGTAGTTGGATATATTTATAAAAATCCATATAATAGTAAGTTAGTAATATGCTTTTTCTATGAAATGATTATGATCATATACAATTTTCTTAAAATTAACAACACATTGGAACTATGAAAAATTCATTCTCAATGTGATAATTTATTTAGTCAATATCCCTTCATGGAGTACCAGATCCTTCAAGGTTTCTAAATCATTTTGTTCACAAGTAATGACCAAATTGAAATATCATCAGGTTTCATGACAGTACACAGTAGTATTGTGGCACCTGATTAAGTGACAACAATTTATTATTCCATCTCTTTGTCTTCGTCACGAATTTACACATGGACAGTGAGATGGTAGGGAAGCTTTGTAACTCAGGGAGATGATTGTGTTAAAGATACTTAATATGAACTCGAAAAAACTCACAATTTTATCAACATCTACTATATAAAAACTCATATTTTAGTGTGCGGAGCTAACGCATTAAAAATGTCTCATAAAAAGGCCGTGTGCGACTGGCCTCAAGATGCTAACCCTTAGACTCTGTAGTCACGCTACCAGGCCACTAAAGCCACCACTAATTCAGCTTCCTTTTCAGGTCCCTCAACAAGAAATATCCTTCCACGGTATGAGCAACCAGTAAGTAACAACCGCTCTCATACCTTTAACAGCACCCGAGATCATATTGTTCACCATCAAATCTCCTATTCACCTTTTAATAATTCTTCCATCCTCATGACAAACCTTTCCCATTTATCTTTATTTTCACGTGCCACCAATGCTAATGATTTAAGTTCATGAAATGTTATTTCTGGTCTCCTGAAACCACTCTTTAAACCACATATCGGAGCTTTTAATGTTCAAACCTTCTGTCACATAGGACAACAAGCTTTTTTAGCTAAGACTCCAGAATCTCGCTCCATCGACGCATGCTGCGTCGCCCGTGCGCGCATACAGGATCCAAGTACAGTCATTTGTTTGACCCTACCTTATCAACATCAAGAATCCATGCGATTTACCCTTTGAGTACCTGGAGACCCCATTGTCACTTCCCGTGGCTTAACTGGTGTAGGTATATCACTAAGTTCAAAAGTAGAACTGTCTTGCCCAGATTGGTTCTCAGTAGACAGTAGTATATGTATTGCCCAACTAAACGGAACAGTAACAAATTGAAAGGACAGAGACACGCACCATTATCTCTTCACTGTCTCTGCTTATGCTCCCACAGATTGCAGCTCGGATGAAGCAGATCATGAATGTTATAGGAAGCTATACAACCCCGTTCAAAAAGCCAAACGCTCTGATGTAGTAATGGCGACAGGTGATTTTAATGTTCAGGTAAACTGAACCAGACCGAAAGGCACTTAGACGGATCTTACAGTGTTGTGGCTAAGTGAACAGAAAATGGCGACTGTTTACTACAACTATGCTCAGATAACCAAATATTTATGGCTAACACCAACTTTAAACATAAAGAGAAACATCTTTTGGTGTGGTGAACTTCACAATCGACTAATCCATGTGCTCAAATTGATCACATTGCCATCATCCATCGTTGATTGTACTCGATTAAAGACTGCTGCTCATTCTGAAGCACATTTCTAGACTCGAATCAAGCAGTAGTTAGAGAACGTATCTGTCTGCGTATTACTGGACAGAGAAAAGGCACAGCAAGAAAACCCTCTAGAATTTAACTTGATGATGAAAAAGCTACGAATATATTTCAGAACCAACTAGAGAAAGAATAATTCAACCATGAAAGTCATTTCTACTCCGAGGCAATTTGGAATGATATACAAAATCCTGGATGTAGATGTACAGACTAATTATTCACTCCGAAGAAGGTTCTGGAACATAGATTAATTCTACGATGTCCAACCATAGTTGTATTCCTTGTGATTAGGGTAACGTTCGACTTCATTGATTGTTAGGTTGTGAGGCAGTGTCTGTCATTGAAAGGCGTACCGAAGTCGCACACTGACCTTGAACAGACTTTCTACCCAAACACTTCAGAGGTTGATTTTCTATCAGGAGATTCACTTGTTGGATGGAATAAACAAATGATATAGTTTTATTTTGTGAAGATACTGACGAAATCCAGCCTTCCAACCACCTTGATCAACAATGCAAGCACATTTGAAATGAAGTTCTCCTCCTCCAAATCCGAATTGCTACTTCAGGATTGGCTTGGGTTAGAGCCTAAAATAATGATATCATAAAAAGTAGTTGAGCGTGTCGATCGCTTCATTTATCTCGAAAGTCTCATGAATACCGATGGTCTGGTATTTGACAAAATCTAGGCATGGTTTCATAGGGCTAGAGTAGCTTTTGTAAACTCGCGTCACTCTGTAGCGTAGGCGAGATATCTGTCTTCCAACCAAAAGGACGAGTTTACTGTAATGTGTGCTACTTATACGGACAGATATAATTAGCATGCATCAAGAACTGGGAGTAGGGTTCTTACTCACAGAAAAGGAATATCAGGAGAAAAGAAAGAAAAGCAGAAGTAGTCCAATGAGTGATAGGAATGAAAGATTGATGAAGCTTGTCAGAGACAGTTCAAGGAAATTGTGCTAATGGTGTATTCAATGTACACTACGTAAGTCTTTGTTCATTAAAACTCACAGCATTTCACTCCGTTCTACTTTATGAATGTGAAACGAAACCATTAAAAATGGAGGATATTCGTTGGTTACCACTATCCTATCATTGTTGTCTTCGAAGCATCATTCGTGTATGCTTGGAACACAGAGTTAGCTATACCTGGGTTAGTAATAGAGTACACCTTCATCCTCTGATCTTTCAGAGGTTGGTTTTCTATCAGTAGGTTCAGTTTTTGACTTAGAATACTCAAATGTTATAGTTCAGTTTGGTGAAGTCTTTGACAGAATACGGTTTCCTGATCAACATAAGAACAATCCAAACATGTTTGGAATGCGGATTGAATTGCGTCATCGCCTGAATTAGTGATAGGGAGTGAGGTAATTGAGTGTGTCGATCGCTTTACTTATCTAGGAAGATTCATCAGTACTGATGGTCTGGGGTTTGATAAAATTTTGGTAGATTCAGAAAACTCGATTGGTTTACGGTAACTTGAATGAACAGTGGTGTAGGTGAGATAGCCGTCTTCCGAACAAAGGACGAGTTTACTGCTCAGCAGTTTGCTACACTATACTTAACGGGTGTTAAACATACTTATATTTGCTTGTTATTCTTCAAGGAGGATCATAAGTCACCCAGTAGCAGTCCCCTTCGAATCCTTTCCCATTGCGATTCATTCTCTTGATATCTACTTCCAATCCCCTCCACAATGTGTTCCTTGGTCTTCCTTTTTGCTTGCTCTCTTCAGAATTTCAAGCTAGTGCTTGCCTTGCGATGAAGTTTGGTGATTTCCGCAATGTTTGTCTTATCCACCTCCAACGTCTTTTCCTAATTTCCTCTTCATCTGGAAGTTGTTTTGTTCTCTCCCATAGTAGAGTGTTGCTGATGGTATATGAACCATGGATATTGAGTTTCTCCATCTATTCGTTGGTTACTGCTATTCGACCATTGATGTCTTCTAAGCGTCACTCGTATATTTTCGAAACATAGAGTATGCTATGCCCGGGTTAGGAATCGAGTACTAGCTAAATGATGGGAAATCGGTTAGAGAGGTAGTAAATCTTCATCATCTGAGATGGTTTGTACATGTGTTACGCATGCCCGATCGCCGCCTACCTCGAAGCGTGATGTTTTCTGCTGCAGGATTAATTTGGAAGAAAGCTAAGGGTGCCCAAACCAAAGCATGTCGCACGTCCATGATGTCACTGATAATCGGACTTAACCATGCTTATATGAATAAACTACCTGGATGTGTTCTGTATGATTACTGAAGTCAGTGGTTAGATATTTTGAATGACATGGCTTACAGTCGTTCGCAATGGCGCAGGTGGATTTATTCTTTGTCTTCCTCTAAATTCTGAGTTTCTTAATTCCTCATGATCATTTCTGTGTTTTTATTTCACTAATTTATATTTTATTCTCGAATCATATCTTCTATATCTAACCTTTCCTATTACCGCTGATGCTGTAACTACCTCTACTATTCTGGGATTTAACTTGTGGAGAAATGTTAACGGTTTGCTTCTATTTGAAGTCCGAGCTGATGATTTCCTGTAGACGGATGATGAAAGTTTCATGACTGTTGAGTCAGCTTTCCGAGAACTACAAGGGAGCCTCCAGAGGCCCTAAAGCAGCCGAAGAGTTCCAGCCAATCAGAGCATGATGGATCTTTCTAGGAATATCAACGTGGCATGCTAGTGTTGGTCAGTAGCATAATGTGTCTCTGAGCGGATTGGCCAAAATATAATGTTGATTTGACAAATGCTAATATCTTTAAATACCCGTGTTTTCTGTACAAAAATGAAGATTGGAGTAAAGTGCTTTTCGCTTATTTTGCGCCTTTTCTCTCGTGTTCAGGTCGCTGCGTAGTTCTAGCTTGCGGGTTACCAGAATAGCTTAGGAATCAAATAAAGGGTTCGAATTAACAAGACTTATCACTGACTAAAGTATCCAGGTCAGAAAACACAGCTTTACCAAAGACATAAGCATTGCTTTGGTTATCACAAAGTAATCAGTTATGTGAACTCCGGTAATTGAAAGCTAGTGAATTAACATTTTGCCTCTTTGGAAAACAGAAAACAATATCAACCAAATAATAAACTATGGATAGTTTCACACTTCATACAACACAGTTTCAATTACATTCATAAGTTATTTTTTAATTTCTCTCATGAATGCAAGTGACAAATGACAAGTAAACAATCTAATGTTTTGAAGCTTCCAAAAATAATTACATAATGAATATTTTCAAGTGTTCAGTACATAAATACCGAATTAGATTGAAAGTACGTCAAATTGTGAAGTGAAACTTTATATTACGTTACTAAATGAAAAACATGTGATTATCGACTAATAATAGTTATTTACTTTAAAAAAGGTTACTTTAAATTTATGAAAATTTCAAAGAAGATTTGAATAAATCAAAGTCGCAGTACATCATGAAGAAACGGTGAAACTTAGGGAAAACGATTATGAACTATTACCTTAATATATTTTAGGTGTTTTTCTCAATATTTCTCCCGTTAGCAGAGAGTAATGTTGATTGGATTACTTACCTACACCCGTATAACTGAACTGTTTGTATCATTATTAAACATATCTACTAACTCAGAGTAAATTTCATACATTCTAGTAAGTCACCTTGATTGGGAGAGTTGAGATATGTTGGTTTGTGATGAAAGTATGTTTCATGAAACTAGATGATGATCTATTTCTTAGGATACGCTATCTATATCACGTGCTGAATTTACCAGTCGGACTTTCGACTATACCGCGAGTTTGCTATTTCATTTATATCCTAGAGACCTTATCCATAATAATAATGGGTTTTGACTGAAACAACTGACCTTGAGCTTACTTGAGCCATACTACTATTGATTCGTCTATCCGAAAGCCTTTTCTCCATCTCCGACCTTAATTCCAGAGAAAAATCTGCACTCAGGCTCTTATTAATAATATATTTTAATTATCCAGACCAACCAGCCAGCATAACATCTGTTTCAAACAGTCACTAGATAATATGCACGGACTGTCGGATCCTGGAGCAGATCGAACAAGAAGTAATATTTTAAACACCATGTCATAAGTGTCAGAGCTAAGTAGACAGTAAATAATTAATTAGCGATAGTTAGGGAACAGTAAAAGGCATAACAGTAGTTGGTAAGTCCGCTGGGAGTTTACGATGCGGCGAATGTGAGAACACAATAGTAAAGTTATCTATAAATTATGCAGTAAAAATATGGACAATAATAATAATCCGAAAAATAGTTCCGAAAGTTCTGACTTTTCCTATACTCGTTCCATGATAACAGTCTCACTATATCACATTGATTTTCCACTCAGTTATCTTTAGAAGCACTCTTACAGAGAGACAGGAAGGTTCTGGGTCTGATCTCTGATGTGATAGTAGGTGAGTTCTTTTGAGAATTAGAACAACACATATAAGTGAACAATATTGTTTTCAATTAGATCGTCATCAGACTTTACTGTAATATACATGAATATTTATACGAAAATGTTAAACCAATCAAGGCAATATAGGTCAATAATCACAATGAAATATAATAAGTCTCTACACATAATAGGTAAAAATACAAATTGATAGTAGGAAGACAGGTGTACTGATAGTGGTAAGAATAATAAAATACGATCACAAAACTCTTATCAATAGTTAATCGTTGGAAATAGAAGGTCAAATAAACATGGGTAAATAGACTAGGCATAGTAATCACAAAACACTAAAATCACTACGTAATAAGATGTGTGTAAATAATTAGATAGTGAAGAATACAAAGAATAGGAAAAAACAGAATATAACTATTTGTGCTACTAACACAACTTAAGATAGACAAATAATAAATCATTTTGGTACATATTATGTTTCTCTTTTTAGAAAATGCATACAATAAAGGAATTTTTGTACAAAAGATCACTCCCAACAGTATATCGGATAAATCAAAATCAATTCAAGTAAATGATCAAATAATCCAAGTGAGAATAAACGTTCAGTACTATTGGGTGTTTCTTATTAATATTATATATTCCAAATAGCCGCTTATATTTATTTAGATAATGAAATGACAGAACGAAGTTGATGAAGAATATTTATTCCATGACTGAAAGAAAGGTGGTAAAATGTATTAGAGCAGCAAATCTTTACACTGATATGTTTTAATAAATTTTATTTTTTATTGAAACCAATAGTTCGTCTTGCAGACAAGTTTAGTTATTTCTTTGTCACGTCTTAACTGTCAATAATTTCATATTCTAATATTTTTGATCCAAAATAAACAACTGTATTAAATCGGTTAGGTTTATTACCACACCTAGAAAGAGGTGTTAGCCTTATTTACAAGTGAATTACATCTGTACAGCCTCTTCAAAAAATCCAATGCCTTTGAAGTAAACTGTCATCGGAGCCCTCTAAGATTCTAGAAAATAAAAGATGGATATAGAAATAAAGTAGATAACTTTCACTTCAACGCAAGAAACTATAGTACGATTACTTTTAAAGAATCTGCTGACGAAGAAAATAGCTGAAAAGAGGAGTTATTAAACTAGATAACCAAAAAGCTATTGTAATATATTATATGTATAATTAATCACCAACATACTCGGTCTAAAAGATAATCTACTTCCATGTGTTCAGTGATTAGCCAGTTGAAGTAAACGTTTCTCATTATAGAGTATTTCTAACAAATATTCAGAAGGAATCGTTAACGAGCATCTTCATTAAAAAACTAATCGAAATGATCTAGTGTTCTTGTAAACACTGTCAGCTATCATTGTGTTGAATACGAACTTCGGTTGTCTGATTAACGACAGTATTTACTGGTAAGTTAATGAAAGCGATAACAAAATCCAATAAACTTTCACTTATTTGTATACTATCTAGAGACTTTCCTGAAAATGAATTTCCCAATGTTTTGATGAGAATGCATGATCTTTGATGTCTATGAAGTAGGAGGATGAAATGCTTGTGCTGTATTTCACTACTAGCCGCTAACCAACTTTAATTAAAATGTCATTTTATTAGTTTTCATGATATGAGGTATAATTAAGTAGTATAATCTTATATTTCGAATTTATCATGCCATATTTCCTGTTTTCACATTCACAGGTAAATGAAATATCTCTAAGTGGTCTAGATAACATAAAGGCCATTTCAGTTTTGAAGAAGTCTGATGCAAGTATCACACTAAAATTGAAACGCTACCTTTGTGGTTTCCTTTGTAAAGAACTAAAAAAAGCGGGTATTACTTTTAAACATTATAATTGATTTATTTATCATGTATTCAGATGAACAGTTATAGAAAAAAGTGGAGATGATACTAACGCCTAAAATAATAGTAATGGATTTAGTTATGAATTTGTTCGCTTTTAACTATTCCAAACTGGTAGGCTTATCACTATAATTGATAACTTTAAAATGGAATGAGCTTGATTTGTTTTGTGAAGGACAACAAATAATTTTTATGATGGAATTTCCAAATCACATAAAGATCCCATAATTTTCGTCTGTCATACTCGTTGCTCCAACCTTATGAGGTATATGAATATCGAATTGCCGGAGAACACGCCGGTTCTTTAATCTCCCTGTCATCAGTTTGACACTTTAGATCATTGTGCAAGTCCTCATAGTTTAACAAACTAGCAATGAAGAAGCTAGGTATTATCCTTGGTTTAGGGTTAAGATCATGATAAAGAGAATTAAAACTGAAAAATTATAGATCTGGCCATAAAAGGAATAGTCAGAAATCCATAAGGGAATATTAGCTGAAAATTTATACTTAATATCAATATTGATTAAAAACAGCATAAAACTCGAAGCGCTTTATTTGCTATCTTCTTAACAGGGGTTGCCATATATTTTAGAAAAGTATTTTCGTCTTAACCCTATGGATAATATTCTTGTTCAGCCCAATATCTTTCGTTGGGCTAACAGATAATATTTGACTGTTGAACGGCTTCGTAAAGCCATATATATACGGTCCGGAAAGAAGTATCTAAAGACCTATCAAATACTTCATCATTGAACATTGTATTAACAAACAGCATAACGAAGAATACATCCATCAAAGTCATCTGAGAGACAAATAAATATTACTTGAAAACTTCACGATTACATCATTCACCTCAGGGAACCTAGAGCCTTCAAAGCTCACTTCTGGTCCATAAATACTCTGTAATATCTCAAAAACTGAGTATCAATAAAACCGTTTACTTTTACTTTCTTAAGTTATTTAACGTTTCATTCTGTTTACACAATCCACTTGCTTACGATAGATATTCGAAAATTTCTTTTCGTAAATTGTCTCTTAGCTTTTAATGGTGAACTTGCAATTATTTGGCAACTGTTTTTTTTCAATATGGTGTCTAGACATCTAAATTACTAATTATTTAGGCTCACAGTCGTTCGTTAAGGAACTATAGGTGTAAACAGGTCAAGTTTATTTGCTTATGGGTTTCACATTCAATAAATCGGCTTTAATGATAACTAACATTTATTATACAGGGAGTAAGTATCTTCAGTTTGAAGTTTGTAGGTTAGTGTACGAGTGTTTGGCAGTGGCAAGTGTTAAGTTCAAAACACATTTCACATGTCTACACAAGTGTTACTTTCTGAGTAATATATGACGATAACCCTAATTTTTATAGTTAAGCTGTGATAAATACATGGTAGATTATTTTCCTAATCCTAAACTGTATTTTCCACACATAAACACTTTCTATACATAATTTTAATTTGCCTCTTAATATCATTTTCTAAAAGGTTCTTTCCAAATAAGCAATAATGAACCACAAAATCGATTGGTAAATCATGATGAAATTTCAGACTCTGATCTAAATTCGGATCAACCATACTCAGTAGACAATAATGTATTGAAGTATAATGTAATCAACAGTGAAGCGAGTGATTCATCAAATCAATCAGCGGTTAGTATATTGTATCAACACGAGAATTATCCATTAAATAATACTAATTTTGACCAATCAAATACATTACACATGGAATTAACAGAAGGATTCATCGATTCATCATGTACGTGTTTACATGGTTATGAAAGTATATTTTCAGAAGAAAAGGAATTTAAGGAAATGGTGTCACCACTGGCGAATAATAAAAATAATCATGATCAATTAAGTCCAGTGGCTTTTTCTGACCAATTATTAGTCAATAAAAATTGTAAATTATTAAACCCAGCAAATGTTAACTTAGTTGATAACATAGAATCATTTGAACAACAAACACCTGTAACAATGATGGCAACCACAATAATAAATAAACAGGAATATCAAGATGTGAGTACCGATCAAAAAGGTGAAGAATTCACCAAACGTATCTGTGGTGTTGGAAATAATGGGATGTTGGTAATCAGTAGGTTCACGCCTAATTTTGGCATTGAAACTACATCTAAACCGGAAACGAGCAAAAATACAACATCTAGAAATATCAGTGATGTTTTGATTCAGATCAATAATAATAATAATAATAATAATAATAATAATAATAATAATAATAATAATAATAATGATAATAATACAGCCATCGGATCTAAAGAAATAATTGATCAAAATCGTCTTGGGAAAACGGATCACATCAATTCATCAAATGAGGAACAAATTAAAATAAGTAAGTTTAGTAGGACTACTTTCCTGTTCCTTCCTATAAATATTTTTTTCCGGGAATTATGGTATTCAAGTGAATTTTTATCCATATTCATATCAGTTGATTGTTCTAAAGTTGTCAACATCACCATTAGAAGATATTTTTATTCACAAACTGGGGTTATCTGGAAATTAGTCAAAAATCGGCTATTTGACGGTGACAAATCAGTCACGAAATAACTACTCTCTGGAATTCCATAATTCTTTAGCTGATACCGTTTCCAGTCTAAAACTAACTTCAAATTGATCTACTCTGTCAAAGAAATACTCACTTTACAATCAGAATATAACGAAACAAGTATATAGACTAATCAAACAATAAGCAATGAACGTTAAAGTATTTATTCTGGTTTTGCTTAAATGCGTTGAATTATGCAAACGTAACTGCTAAAAACCAACAGAAGGTGAAAGAGAATAGTGTATAATGAAAACGGGAATCATCAAACCCATTCGATTAAAAATATTCTGAACTATGAAGATTAAAGTGACTATTAAAGTAAAGCGATCAGAAATTAGAAAAGTCAATACAAAAATGATTTTGTGATCATTCTTCTTAGGCGATGTTATTCGATACAACATGACCTATGCAGCGACAAATATACAATAATATTATTTTTGATAACAAGATTCAGGTTTGACATTTGTGATAGTGATGATTTTACTCCAATTAATAAGTTCAAGTTCACCCATTGGTTGATTGATTTTTAACACAAGCCACAATAGTGTTTTTTTACATGATTTCCAAGTTACATTGTTCACCCGAAAACTTAGTTGCTATAGAAAGATATAAACATGGGTAATAACTATTTCTAACATTCCTAGAAGCAGTTCACAAAGGCTTGTTGATCTGACCATGGGGAAAATTCAAATAAACATTTAACTATTCATTTATATTTAGTTATGAAATAGTTAAAATTCTATCAAATATAAAGTTATTCTTAATCTCTCCTAAAAAAAACTTTATTTAAGTTTTCATAGGATTTCATCCAAACAAAATCATGACCACAGAACTGTCTTGACATAAAGTCTCAATCATAAGACGGCTATGACAAGTTGTCCTGAAAACAGCAATTTAAAGATACCTAGTAGCTCATATCATATACTTCAAAATTCTCACTTCCCAAATTTACGCTAAAATAGCTTTAACACGTCATTGCTAGCTTATTCTCAAGAGACGTTTAAACAATTTTAAGCACATTTATTGTAGTTTGAGCTCAGAAATAAAGTCTAGCTTTTCAGTAATCACATTTGTCAATAGATCGATATCCATTGAAGTCAACTATTTCATTTTTTTTGTAATTCTGGAAGTTTGATTGTCAATTACAAGCCAGTTAATCATTTCTAAAAAGAAATTTCCACCACAATAAATCATGCATCTTGTTAGGATAACCACCCGAACATCGTGCTTAATTTAACTGCATTTATGACTTATCACAGGTTATATCTCACAACTAACCAAAACGCGCAGACAACCCTGAGCAACCAACACACTGAAAGTACGAGGAAGACTGGTACACTATTCCTGAAGGTCGACTCAATACTAACTAGGCCAGAACGAAGAGCATGAATACGTGACCAGAGTTCACCAGTCCAAGATCGTTAGTATATTTCAGACATTCATTTAATTACACACAAGATCAGGTCTCAGAACAAACCAATTAAATAACAATACTGACACGGAACAACAACAATAATCATGGGATAACGGAATACTGGAAACACAAATAATCAGTTCTAGGTTATGAGTGAAAAATGCTATAGCAATAATTCACCGTTCAAATAAAAGCTTAGATTTAAAATGACAAGAAAAACAATAAAGCCAAAATACTTAATAAATATGTAATATATATATATATATATATATATATATATATATATATATATATATCAATAAAATCGTGGAAGTTTCGACGTGATAGTTAAATTGTGTATTACAACACATCCCTTTTTGAAAATCATTGTTAAGGCCTGTCATTTGAGTTCATTTTGATCCTGGTTGGTTTTCTTGGAATCCATAGTAATGGTCTTAGGGGTGGCTATAATCATTTATCCAGTGTTCTTGTTCATCGATCAACCAACATATTCAGAGACATGGATTTTTTATTGACACCGTCCCTTTCTTCTCGTCTATATGGTCGTATGTGGTTGGCCTGTATTATCTATTTCATATTGTTAACATTGACTTCATAAATTATTCCCTTTCTGCTGAGTGGGATAATTCCATGAAACCAATCCGTCTTTAGCAGTGAAAATAAGGTACCATAACCGGTTGTCCTGGACAGAATCTCCCCGGCTATCACTAACTTCTCTTGTTGTACAGTTTCCCCATTTTTGAGTTTCGCTCAGTGGTCGTCGTAACATGCGGCTTCAAATAGTTTGACGGTATTTGAGCTTTTCTTCAAAGCATTGCTTCTGACTGAGAAACCGTACCAGCTGTTGTAGGATTCGGTGTTGCTCGGTAAGCAAACAAAGACGTCCGTAATATTTTTTTGAATCTTCCCTCCTCCCTGAGCTTTTCGGAATGAAATCTTATAAGTATCGACAAACCGCTCAACCTACCCGCTTAGATGAGAGTGATGTGGAGGAGTCTTGACATGTTTAAATTCGAAAAAATATAAATTAATAGGATTAATCCAATTAAGTCCAGAACTCTAACAATGAACAATTAGGAACTAAAATTCGAAGTACGCAATTTGACATTGTATTGTATTATTAAAATATTTGAGTGTACATCAAGTGTGTTGGTTATTCAACCCAATGTCGTTCAGAACTCAGAAATGATGAAATTCTACAGATGAAGATTATGAACCATTGCCAGAGACTGTCACTGCCGGAAACGCGAAACAACTAAATATTTGATGTAGTTTATTTAGTGTCATCTTAGTTGATGTAGATTACATACAATGTACTTCTAAACATTTGGTAAATGCGTCCATGTTTGTCATTAATGGGCTCTGCAAGATCCAAGTGCACCCTCGACCGTCGATGTGTCGTTATTCCCAGCAGAGAAGTTTAGTTTAGCAAAGAGCGTTGGCAGATTGAGCACATTTGGAGCGTTTTGATATATAATCTTATTTCGGCATCAGTGTTTGACCAGTATATATAAATTCTGACCAATGCTTTCATCCGGACAATACCTGGATATGAAGAGTGAAGTTGGGATAGAACTTTACGACACGAACATATGGTACAACTAAACGGTTTCCAAAATAAGGAAATTTATCCACAACACATTGAGTTACGTCGCCGAAAATATCCTCGTCTATTTGCATTTAATTGTAGAAAACAGCCATATAAGAAATAACGAATAATGCTCTGAAGCTTATTAACTGTTTTTTGTATTGCAATTTCTACTATCTGGTTAATATGTGATCCCAGTAATACAGCGGCGATGACAATATTTTCATTTTCGAACTTCTGCCTCGCAATTTATCTGGGTAGAGTACTGGCTGGACCAAACATTGTTGTATATTTATGATTAATTTTAAAGACATGGGCGAATTACATAACTGCCGAAAGTTGAGAAAGGTTAGCAGTATACACCAGGATACAGGACTTTGATTCAAAAACAAAGGGTTTTCGGTCTGTAAACAATGTAAATGGATACCCATAAATCATTTTCTGCAATTTTTGGTAGTGAACATCAAACTCAACTCTTCCTTTTCTATCTGACAATAATTTCGTTCCGTCACATTTGGAGAGCTTGAAGAATGAGCTATAGGTTTTTCCCTACAATCTGGGAAACAATAGCTGATAAAAGCACCAGCATCATAATTAAAAGCATCAGTGGCAATAATTGTTTCCAGTTTTGGGTTATAATGAGTCAGTAATAAATAAAATTTAACGGGAGGCGCAGTGTCCGTATAGTCGGAAAAAAATACGCTATATTATCAAATTATGCCCAAAAGTGGTCGTTATGTCATTAAATCAGTCAGTAGAGGCATTTGTTTAATGCGATGTATATTACCCGGATCCAGTCGACGACCATGCTTATCGAATATAAATCCAGGACAATTAACGGATTCAGGAAATGGTTCACATTAACTTTTTGCGGTTGAAAACCAGACTCCTATACTCTTATATGTAGTTTATCCAAATGGGACGATAATTCTTCTTTAGAGGAGCCTAAACCAGTAATAGCATCCAAGTATGCTTCAACATCATCGAGATTCAATATCGTGGTATTCATTAAGTGTCGAAAAATTTGTAATAAGAGAACAATCAAGTACATGGGAAACATCAGTTCACGTAAATATCACATCCGTCACAGTTTAAACTGGTATCTAGATTTCTGCAGTCGATTAGGTCCGCCATTTGTCTTTCCGACTGTGTATTGAATATGGACTCAGCATGATCTACAATGTGCTCGATAGTATTGGAATCAACGGTGGAAATTGGAACAGTCTTATCCGGTTCCTGGGATTGTATTTGACCAGCATGTCGGTTGTACGTATTGGAATCATTGATGTCTGGAATTTAAACGATAGATTTTCCAATACTATCCTCCCCCCACAATATAATGTTGGATCTTCATGTCTCTAAGTTGCAAATAATGTTGCTCTACTTGGAACACATTACTCACATTAACTAGAGGATCTATTAGAAGTGACTTCATGTTGAGGATAAACAACACGACATGAAATCATCCGAACTGTAATTAGGTTTGAATTTAATTTGAACTTGATCACATTGACTTCCTTCTACAAAAAACTAGTTAAAGGAATCTTATAGAAGTACGACTTAGCGAACCCTTTCAAAATTTTATCAACCTGGAGGTTGGACCATCAAGAAGTTCGCTTGATTACGAACTGTTTAAAACCATAAATATCCTGACTCTTGTTCGGCTCATCATGATGTCCACCAATTATTAATTATAGCATCAACCTTCTTTCCTCAACTTGCTCATATTGACAATGTAAGTCAAATTAGGCATCTTCTGTATGTTTCATTATCTGTACTTCTCCCACTGCTCAGTAAATGTTTAATATCTGTCATTTTGGACTACATGATGGAGGAAGACTAAGGCAAGGAATCAACGAGGACAGATTATTTTGGGACCACTTCAGATATTGTTACAGGAACACGTTATTCCGATGTTTTACTTATTATGGCTCATTTCGACGAAATCTCATATATCACTAAGTTCCTAATGATAAACTATGGTGATAATGCCGAAAGATGATCAGAAGTGGAGGGAAGAGCGCTGATAGACATAAATACATATTTGACGGGCTTGCTAAGATGTCTAAGTCGACCGGGAGTGTCAATAATTTCAATAAAGTGGAAGCTTCAGTGACTTATTTCTGTCTCATAACAGTCTTGGGGCAATCGCTGTTATGTAACCTACTGAAGTAATGGATTTTGAAGTGACTAAAGCTACTCCTTCTTTTTTCATTTAAGTACTTAATTCAATATAGAATACTCATAACACAAAGAACCACGGACATCATATATATATTTTTTCGAAGCTTGTATTCAGAAGTTTTAGAATTTTACTTGACATAATATATTCATTTGGTTGAACTTGAGTCATTGGCAATTTGTTCGTAAAGCTGAAACTTTGCGGGTACCTTGAGTTTGGCCTTACGCGCCTGATTTGTCTCCTTACCCTTCGTTTTATGCCTTTCTTCCTGCATTTCATGTCTTCTGTCGTTATAACCAATAGTATACACAAATCTAAAGGTTCATTTTACTTACAAATCAGGTATGCATATCAAGAAGAGACTTCGCCGCTACATAAGTAACATTATAAGCTTTACTAATTCCCACACTCGAAACACGCTTCGTGATCGATCTGCTGATTTTTATGGTGAGATATTCTAAATAATGATGTCGATTCTTTACTTGGAATTAGGAATTTTCATGTGTTTACTTGGTCTAATTCGCTTTTCATGTGCTTCAACTTCTTAGTTCCGGTAGAGAATTCCAGTAATTCTCTCACCGAGTAGTGGATTACTGGAATTCTCTACCGGAATACGTAATATCAGCACCGTCTGTTAATATATTCAAGACGAGATTGGACCTCCACAGTATTACAAACTGCAAGGATTAATATAGGTCGACAGACCTATCCTTATTACTGAAGACTGGTGTACACTATATATGTACGTACTGTGTTCATCAATGGGTTTGCAGGTCAAGCTAAAGAAAATAACGCAACGCAGCAATAATTTAGTTTTAGGGCACTGAGTGTCTTTTTGTAAAAGAGATTAATATTGGCAGATCCACTGAGAAAGACGTGGAACTGTATCCGTTTGGGAAGCTAACGGGAGGGATACGTCTGTTTTGTCTAGGTGCCTAAAAATTGCATTGACGGAATAACTGATCTTAAACCAAGGAGAATCGGGAGTTTAGGCATGGACGAAGTGGGTGTTCCGTAGCATATGTATGTATCCTGCAAGCAAGTGGCGGAACTATGCTTGATGGGTGATCCAATAATGAGATAGAGACTAAGATTTTTTGCATGAAATTTATTCTTCCATATAGCTATATAGAATTTCAGCTGTGTAGTTGATGTCAGTTTGTGCGTGAAAACTCTAGCTTTTAGCTGTAATTTTTGATCTTGATCCGTTACACTGATAAGCTCACTTGTGGAATTTCAGACCCATACAAGGTCACTCTGGTTCTATTCGAAAGTCGTCCATAAGTCTTGGTCTCTCCACTATCGGGTCTGTCGAATATCTTATTAAATGGGAACAAAAGACAACTATTGCCTAGCTTTGATACCTTCCTATTCCCATACGTCGCTGTTCGTAATCAGTCCATTCTGTAAATTGATTCATATCTAAACTGTTCTTGGTCCCCTGTGTTCGCAAACTTCGGTTAGAATGTGTAGGTCACGACAAAAGAGAATGTCGCTGATCTATCAAGCACATGTTTGTCTACCTGCTTCGGTTTGAGCTCGGGCAATATTCCAGCCGTCACACATCCAATGATTTGTGTGACGCATACGTATTTGGTGCTTTCTTGTACTAATGTTTATGTGTTTAGGTAAATAAATAAATGCTTGTCCACTCTACTATGAGCCACATGTTTGTGTAAGGATGATTCATCGGTCTTATTACCATCTGGTTACCACATTACACGGTTGAATAATATCTATGCTATTATTTGTAGCAGATACTTTTAATGGTGTTATCTATTTTAATCCGAATTTATTTACACACCTTTCTTCACCTTTTTGGGAATTAGCAAATGAAGTTACAGATGAATTGGTTGATCTCATGCGTAAAGTTTGGCTTCCGATTGTTGGTCCTGGTTATGAAATCATAGTAAGTATTTCCATAACGTATGTGCTTTTTCAAGTCTATTTTGTTGATTGTTAAATATTTCCAAGTTACATTTTAATGTCCTAGTCTGTAAGCCAAGTCGAAATGAAAAACGCTTAGGTGGGTCTTATAGCATTCCAGACTAAGGAACAGATAACGGTGACCCTGCGTTGAGATTTTTCTCAGATAACCGATTAATTCTTGGAAGTACAAGTTTTAAAGAAAAGGAGAGATATTCTTAACCTAGCGACCCAAATATAAATACAATGATAAACACAAATAGATTATATCCCTATCAGCTATCGTTTAAACAGATCAATAGAAGGCTGCCGCTCCTTCTGGAGCACATGTTTGGATTCCGACCATACCCTAGTGTGCGGACGCATTTCCAGACGTTCTACTGAACGTAAAGTCATACCAGAAAGAAGACTCCCTACGTATTAACTCGAAGCTGGAAAGGTCAATAACACATTTTTGAAAGCGGTGGCTCGATGGTTGAGGCTTTCAACTCCTAGTCACTAGGTCCTAGGTTCGATCATCACCTAACATACCTCGGTTTGGGCGACCGAGTACTATCACCAACCCTCACACTTAGAGGGTGAATTAATTTAATTTCAATTCAGGGAAAAATTAACTAAACAATCAGTCGATCGTAGATTTAGTCTTATCTGAATGGTCTCATTTGCTGGTCGTCCCAATTTATGAAAATGTAGACGTAGACGTGTAGACTAAATATTCACTCTTAAGATTTTAAAATATGAACGTGCTTACCGTCGTTTAACTATAGTTGTATTTCTCGACTTCGAGACAGCATTCGCTTCTATTAACCTAAAGGTTCTGTGCTAATTTTTATCATTGAAAGACGTACCAAAGAAGTACATAAACATTGTACCAGTTTCCTACTCCAGTACTATTGATGGAGTCAGAGGTCGTGGCTAACTGTTGTGTTTACGGAGTCCTTAACTAACTTATGCTTTGTACTAAAACCTCGAATCTAATGGCTCATAGTAAGAACGCAAAGACTGGTGGTATAAATCCTTTTTGACCCACAAATAAATGAAATTGATACCTGAAAACACTGCTTAGTCTACGACTTATTTACACTCAGATTCGCATCCGTATCTCTATAATTGGAAGTGAGTAGTACTTGACATCAGTTCATCAATGATTTTCCACATGAATATTTGTAATGTAGTGATAAAACTTCACACTGGCTAAATTTTGCTATTTTGGTCCTATCATATCAAATTGTCAACCTCATGTGGTGTATATCAGGAATGTCCGCTGTCCCCTTTTTTACTTAACTTCGTCACAGGTGTTCTACTAGAAGTAACACTTTCTTTTAAAGGGTTAGTTTCCCAGGAACTTTACTTATCGACTTCGAATACACGGATAACATGGTCTAGCATCAAAAGGCCTTGTATACTGCGCATCAGTTCACTTGTAATATCAAGTGTATGTTAAGTATGAGAGTAAAATATGTGCTTAGGCTATAGGCTTTTGATCAAACTTGCCTTTTCTCTCCTTTTCTTTCCAATTGCTATTCATTCTCTTGATATCTTCTTCCAATCCCCTCCACAATGTGTTCCTTGGTCTTCCTTTTTGCCTTTCTCTCTTCAGGATTCCAAGCTAGTGCTTGCCTCGCGATGAAGTTTGGTGATTTCCGCAATGTTTGTCTTATCCACCTCCAACGTCTTTTCCTAATTTCCTCTTCGGCTGGAATTTGTTTTGTTCTCTCCGACAGTAGGTTTTTGCTGATGGTACCTGGACAACGGACATTGAGTATCTTGCGTAGACAACTGTTTATAACTACTTGTACATTCTCGATGATGGTTGTAGTAGTTCTCCAAGTTGCAGCTCCGTGCGATAGAGCTGTCTTGACGTTTGTGTTAAAGATCCTGACTTTGGTGTTGGCTGACTTGTTTTGAGTTCCATATATTCATCAGTTGTAGGAATGCGACCCTTGCTTTGCTAATCCTCGCCTTTACGTCCCTTGTGTGTTGAGACCTACTGCTGCAGAGACTGATGCTGCACTGGCTGTCTTTACCTGCATTGGTAGGTGTTTATGGGATAGAAAAACTAGGTCATCTGCGAGATTCAGGATCTAAAATATCCGTGCTCTGCTTGATATATGGAGGTCTGATACTAGTCTTCACTTAGATTACGTACGTGAGCTGACCTCCATGCACGACTTGTAGTGTAGTCTGTTGTAAGAATTCTGTACGAAATTGACAATATTTTCATGTACACCATAGTGTCGAAGAAGCTTCCACAAGATTCTCCTATCCACACTATCAAACGCTTTATCATAATTAAGAGGATTGATGTATGGCGACCAGTTACATTCACTTGATCGTTCAACAATGATCAATAGTGTCGCGATGTGGTCTGTAAACTATCGATCCTTACGGAATCCGGCCTGTTGTTCTCGAAGTTGAGCGTCCACTGAATCTTTCGTCTGGTTCAACAACACTGTTGAAAACTTTTCCTGATACTGATAGTAGTGTGGTACCTCTGTAGTTCTCACACTTACTGAGTCACCTTTCTTTGTTACTTTGATGAGGTATCCCACTTTCCAGTCTATCGGCACTTGTTCATCCTCCTAAATCCTCTTGAATAGGATGTGTAACAGGTTTGCAGTTACTTCTATGTTTGACGTCAGTGCTTCAGCTTGTATGTTGTCTGATGCTGCTGGTTCTCCACTGTTGATTTGTCTGGTGGCTATGCTGATTTTTCCTATTGTTTGTGGGTTGACATCTATAGAGAGGTTTGTGTATGCTGCTTCGATGTCTAGTGGTTTCAGTGAGTCTGGTCTATTTAAGAGTTCTTCAAAGTGTTTTACCCACCTAATCCGCTGTTCTCGATCGTCAGTGATTGGTTCCCTATCTTTGATAATGCTCCTTCACTCTCTCATTTGCTTCTGTGTTCGGTTTGTGCCTCGTCTTTGCTCTTGTTTGGTTGTGATTGCTGTTTTCTTGTTCATGATTTCTTGAATTTTGCTACGGGATATCAACAGGCATCCATCTTTCATGAAAAGCAAACCGCCAGAATGTTTGGAAAATAATCCTTAATAAAATTATCTGTTAAGGTTATTTCGACTACGAAAGAGACTAGACTGTTACAAATTTCTTATGAATACAAAGACATGGATCGTTTGCTTGAATCCTTATGGCTCCTATATGTAAGGAACAAGATCAAACGCTATATGAAAAACTAGTAGGTATTGGATAAATTAATGTCAATGATTTGTTCTTATCTACTTTCATCTATATTAGGTTTTACATATTCATAAATCTCGCGGAACATCAAATTTGGGCATAAGCATTGAAGGTGTGACCTATGTGGCAGAACCAGATTTCGATCATGAAAATTTATCACCTACAACGGTTACAACTAATAGTCAAATTGAAGATAAATCTAATTCAAGTAGTAAACTGTTACCAAATGGTATGGCAAGATCTGCTCATTCAAATGATATCAAGTATAGTGATATGCCATCACGCCATTTCGTCCAATATATTGTACCTGATGGTCTGGTCGGTAGTTTGGGTGTTGTGCAAAAGGGTGATGAGTTACTTCAGGTAAGAACATACCTATTTTCGAGGGAAAAATCACGGTTGGCTTTTGAGTACCGGGCTTAAGAATTACTGTGTAGTGTAATAGCCTAGAGCCGCCAATCAGAAGCAGCGAATTATCGATCGGACTAAGGACGCGTAAACACGTGAGAGCAGCCTAGAGTTCTGATTGGCCCTGCTTTCTGTTTAGCCCAGCCAACTAAATCCAGAACACCAACCCGAGCCTCTGCGATATGAATTGTGTATTTCAAACATACTCTGTTTATATACCAATCAAGCAGACCACATTGTACCATAAAATATAAAATAACATTTGTACAAGATTTGGCCAAATGTGGCTGTGAATGTGGGAGGCAGTGACTAATAGGGAATAATTCAAGAATGGAAAATCGCATAATAACAGTTCATAGGTTAAAATAAAGCTTATGATAAGAGAGACATGAATATGAATAGTTAATTAACCATTATACGATAAAAATAAACGTATAGTATTGGTCCACAAATAGATCCCAAAAAATTACCACTCATTATTCTTATCGGTACACAACAGTAGTCAGTGATGTCATGTCATTGACTTGTAGAAGGCCTGAAAAATTATATGGTTTCATCTTGTTACCCATAATTAGTCTTGTGTTCTTTAGCTTCTGGAACTCACATTTCACCCTATTTAGAATTTGTGAGCTGGATGTACGTATTCCTTATTGTACGCTTAGCGTCTATTCTCATATGTACGTTAAAAATCACACACCGTATCTACGCAATTAGGACAAGCGTTTGACTTCATTTCACGAGTTTATTCTTAATGTATCGACCACATTTGTTAGCTTGCAAAGCATTTTTTTATTTTGTATTAGTGATATTTGTGTTATCCACTTCGTCTACATGATTCGTTTATCAGTGACTATCGGTTCTAAGTCATTTAGTTTATCAGTATAACGGTTTGCGGTGATTGCAGTATTTTCCCAGTTGAAGTCACGAGCCGATCTAAGCTAGACCACTACTGAAAACCTAAAAGCACTAGCATAGGACTCCTCAGCAGTGCTCGTCCACAATCTCGCATGCGGGACCCAGGGCCTTCGACCTCGTGCTCAAACAGTCAACTTCTAGACCACTGTACCAGCATCTTACAGTGTTAATGTCCAACATTAGTCAATCCATGATCTTGCGCAACCTTCCATCCATTGCCTGAGGTGGATATCTGTCTCGCATCCGACACGGATTGGACTTGGTCACGACTTTTCACCAAAACTCCATGTAGTTTATTCATTTATTTTGTGAATTAATTCGAAAATCGTGCGACCTTGGTAACATCTTTGATCATAATGTTTAGCAAATGCAGACTGATGAAACAGTATCTGATAATAAACGATAATTTACAGTTGTAACATGACAACATTTATGATTTTTATGGTCTTATAGTTATTATTAATGGGGTTTTGATTTTTAAATGGGTTACCTAATCTTATTGAATATTCCTTTGATCTTTATGTCTGTGTTTTACTTCCTCGTCTTGAGATATTTTCATTACTGGTATTGATGGTGCTTAATGTTTCTGATTTTCGTATACTTTTCAGGCTAATGGTCATCGTATACATGGTACAACGCATACTAGTACTCTTCGTTATTTGCGCAATTTACCATCACGCATTGAATTAGTCTTTGCTCGTAAAAAGTCTACATATGAGAATGGGGGTGATGACGTGTTTGGTATTACGGACGGTAAAGATCGGTTGATTGATGTCGCAGGGGAATCAATACTTGAAGTAGCTGCTAGTGAAATTGGTTCTGTCGACACTGGTTCATCTATGAGAATAGTGAATACTTACGATAATGTTGATCGGTCAATTTATTCTAGTCCAGTATCACCGGCTACGGCCCATAAACGTGTCACCGAATGGATTCGAAAATCTCAAGGAGATTTAAGTGCGACTATTGACTATTCATCTTCACCTGAATCTTCTGTAACTAAACAAACTAATAATAAATCAGAAAGATTCAATTATTGTGATTTAAAAGTAAGTACTTATTTGCAATACATTTACTGAAATAATTTTTGATATTCTAAAGACCAAATTGTCATTAGAAGAAAATATGCATCTCGTCATAGCTGTATATGTTTAATAGCTGTTATGTCTATCTAGTTAGACTTTAGGATCAACTATTTTCTAACTCCAATTATTGCAACATATTTAACATTTTTTAGATTTGTTTTAATTAACTTTTCATTAATGTTATCCATATAGTATATTTCCACACTTTTCCAAATACCTGTGAAGCTCATTTTTAACGATTTCAAACAGAACTATAACATCAGTTACCATATATCCCCTCTTTGCTGTTTTTCGTAGAAACAAGAGACGATTACATTTGAATCGATGCGTCATATATATATATATATATATATATATATATATATATATATATATATATATAGCATCTAATGAAGCGAGTGTTATTGTTATTACTCCTGTTCACATAAAATAGATGGAACATAGATAGCAGTGGAATTCAGAACGTGAGTTCCATCCTATTTGGGACTCGTCAACTGGATATACCTACATCCCAGTGTTTATTTTCACTTTGGGATTCAAACCCAGTACCTTCTCGCTCCAAACATCAACGCGCTATCCACTTAGTTACTGACTTCCAATAACCACTAATTTGTGCAATGGGGATGGATTTTAATCCAATTTATAATGGTTATGATTATCTCTTTTTTTATACTTTGACTGAAATTCTCTTATTCCCAGTTTATTATGTCCATCGTATGTGGGTCGCGTCTATATAACCATTACGATAAAAGTTTACATAGACTGGCCAAATTTCAGTCAAAGTATAAAAAAAGAGATAATCATAACCATTATAAATTGGATTAAAATCCATCCCCATTGCACAAATTAGTGGTTATTGGAAGTCAGTAACTAAGTGGATAGCGCGTTGATGTTTGGAGCGAGAAGGTACTGGGTTTGAATCCCAAAGTGAAAATAAACACTGGGATGTAGGTATATCCAGTTGACGAGTCCCAAATAGGATGGAACTCACGTCCTGAATTCCACTGCTATCCATGTTCCATCTCTTCTGTGTAAACTTGTGTCATAATGAGTACATCGAGGCAATTCACATATATACCAACTAATACTGATCAAATTTTAGTTAACATATTAACAATGGGATAATCCAAACTATTAAAAATAATAATAATAATATTATTATTAAATGATTCCTTGGTCAATATTTACCGAAATAAATTCTTTCATCTAGATGGTTCGGTAGGGATCGAATCACTTATCGATAGTTTTCATTGGTGTGATTAAATATTAGTTGTGCATAAAATGAGTATTTTGGAAACTAGTCCTCCGATGTTCTGTTAGGAAGAGGTGACTTGTAGAGTTACCCAAGTTGTGAATGAGTCAGCTACCTACTGATGACTTTGGATGACTATTAGACCATACTGTGAATTGATTGAAGTTAGGATGTGTAGACTTTTGGCTCATGACTTACTAGTTATATCATTTCGTTTTCTTTATTGGAGTGGTTGCTTCAAAGTCCAAAGTCGACTACATACACCTGTACTTATTAATTAGGGTTCGTTAAAATCGTTGCAAGGAATGAAAGTTACGGGTCCAATGTTATGCTACGCGACCGTTGGTTAACTGGTGAAGAACTCACTATTAGGACAGAGTAGCTGTTCTACTCTCTTTGTTTTTCCAGCTAATGTTAATTTATGATTACAATTGTTTTTTTTTACCCTCAAGATTGTATTAAACTGTGAAGTTCGTAGTGATTGCTCGGTGGTTAAAGCACTCTGCTTGAAACCAATGAATCACAGGTTTTTTCTTCACTTTGAGCAATCAGCTAGTATCCTCAGCTCTCACACAAAAATATGTGAAACCAACTAAATAGATCTATACTAAGTAAATGTTTTGCTACTTCAAAGATTAAATGTTTATACTAATTAACTTGATTAAATTTAAAATGTACGAATAAAATACAGTTAGAGTGTAGCATAGGGAAAAGCGTAAAGCAACCGCGGCAAATTTCCTGCCAATTCATAGCCTGTCAGAGAACAGCTTTAGTAAGTGAATAGTTTATAGTAAAGAAAGTAATAATGTGAAATGTAAACAGACTTTATGTGACCATTAAATCCCGTAGTCTTCTATTGATTACTCTACGATGTATAAATTCGTCCATGTGAATATAGATTAATTGTCTTCTCGAATTCTCCCGACCGTAGCTGCTACCTTGACGCAGTGGTTGGGCTCGCCTATCGTCATGACACAACCGTCGTTCATTTGACCTCACTATATCAAAATAAAGAACCAACTCGATTCACACTTCATGTATCTGGAGGCCCTGATGCTGTTTCTCGTGGCCTCGCCGGCGTAGGTATAGCATTGAGTCCTAGGGCAGAACTAGCTCTCTTCAACTGGATCCCAGTAGACAGTCGTTTGTGCGCTGTCCGACTGAACGGAACAGTAAGAATCCGGAAAGATAGGAACACTCGTCGTTGCCTCTTCGTCGTCTCTGCCTATTCTCCCACTGACTGCAGCTCAGATGATGTAAACGATGAGTTTTACAGAAAGCTTTAGGACCTTCTCCGAAAAGCTAAGCGCTCGGATGTAGTAATAGTGGCCGGTGACTTTAATGCTCAAGTAGGTAAACTAAGCGAAAGGGACAGACACCTGAGTGGATTTTATGGTGTCGTTGCTCAAAGAACAGATAATGGCGACCGTCTGTTGCAGCTATGCTCAGATAACCGCCTGTTTCTTGCAAATACTAACTTTAAGCATAAGGAAAAACATCTTTTAACATGGAGACCCCCTAATTCATCCCAACGTTGGACCCAAATATCTCAAATCGCTATCAGCCACCGATGGAGGGGCTCGATAGAAGACTGTCACTCATTCTGGAGCACATGCTTAGATTCAGATCATGCTCTAGTACGAGCGCGTATCTGTCTGCGTCTTACTGGACGTAGGAAAGACACTGCAAGTAAACCTCTTGGGGCTCTACTTAATGATAATCAAGCTAAGAGTATATTTCAGGAACAACTAGGAAAACAGTTAGGCGGTCATGTATGTGATGCCCACCCCGAGGCAGCATGGAATGATATCAGAAAAGCTGTGGAAACAGCAGTGATATCTGCTAGTACGGTAACCCGTAAGGTTAGGGAGCAACACAGGATCTCAGCAGCATCTATCGCACTGATAGATGCTCGGAAACTCATTCTACCTGACTCTGAACATAATGAAGAGCGGAGTTAGCTTAAGCGCAAGCTGACAAGAAGTCTACGTAATGATCGTAAACAGCGGTGGATAGTGAAAGCAAGAGAGATGGAAAAGGCAGACGCAATAGGTAACAGCAGACAACTGTTCAGACCTGTTAAGGAGACCGGTATTAGGGACCCGACTGTTAACGAAACACTCTCAGAGAAAGATGGACATATTATACATTCTCAATCCAGGAGATTGGATCGATGGGCAGAACACTTTAGGGATCAGTTCAACTGGCCTTCAGCCACACTTTGGTTTCCCACGATCTCCAGCCAACCTGAATGGCTAGTTAATGCAGGCCCTCCGACTCTTTACGAAGTTGAAAAAGTTATAGGAAATCTGAAGCGTGGAAGAGCAGCAGGCCCTGACAGGTTTACTCCTGAGATTTTTAAGGATGGTGGTCCAGTATTAGCAGTGAGATTAACTGAGGTCTTAGGTAGAATTTGGGAACTGGACGTAATCCCATCTGACTGGTCTCAATCACTGATTGTGCCAGTCTATAAGAGAGGACACAAGTCCTCTTGTGACAATCACAGAGGAATCAATTTGACTAATATAGTGTCTAAAATATTAGCTTCAATAATACTTCGACGCCTAACTAAAGCTCGTGAAGAGCAGACTAGAGAAAACCAGGCTGGTTTTCGACCTGGACGTGGTTGTATAGACCAGATATTCACACTACGTCAGGTTCTAGAACATAGACACACATTCAGACGCCCCAGAATCATAGTATTTCTCAACCTTAAGGCGGCATTCGACTCTGTTGATCGTGAGGTTCTATGGCAGTGTTTGTCACTGAAAGGAGTACCAAAGAAGTACATTAACCTTATAAAGGCTCTCTACTCGAACACAACTGGTCGAGTGGGAGCTTATGGCGAACTGTCATCAGAACTGATTACCTCAAGTAGTGTTCGTCAGGGCTGTCCACTCTCTCCATTCTTGTTTAACTTTGTCGTTGACGTACTTTTAGAGATAACACTTCCCTCGTCTAGATTTCCAGGGGTTGAACTTCTACCGGGAGATTCACTTGTTGACTGAGAATATGCAGATGACATAGTTCTATTTGGTAAAGTCTTCTGACCACTTTAAGCAACAATGCAAGCTTGTTCGGAATGCGATTCTCTCCCTCGAAATGCGAAATGGTGCTTCAGGATTGGGTTACATCGACACCCGAACTAGTGATAGGGATTGGAGTAGTTGAGCATGTCGACCGCTTCACTTATCTTGGAAGTCTCATCAGCCCTTGTGGTCTGGTGTGTGACGAAATCTCAGCACGGATACAGAAGGCTCGACTAGTTTTTGCCAACTTGCGTCACTTATAGCGTAGGCGAGATATCCGTTTATCAACCAAAGGACGGGTTTACTGCGCAGCAGTTCGTCCCGTCCTACTTTATGGTAGTGAAACATGGCCGGTAAGAGTAGAGGATATTCGTAGGTTACTAGTATTTGATCATGGGTGTCTTCGAAGCATTGCTCGTATATTCTGGGACCACTGAGTACGGGATGCAGTTGTTAGGAAACGGGTACTAGGTAAGGATGGCAAATCGGTTGATGAAGTAGTGAAACTTCATCAGTTGAGATGGCTGGGACACGTGTTACATATGCACAACAACTGACTGCCCCGATGTGCGGTGTTTTATGGTGTAAGAGTAGGTTGGAAGAAAGCTAGGGGCGGCCAAACTAAAACATGGCACAAGTCCATGAAGTCACTGATAAGTGGACTGAGTCATGTTGGTAGGTGT